TACTATTACTGTTATTATTTGTAGTAGTAATAGAAGTAGTAGTAGTAGTCGTAGTAGTATTTAAAATGTATTACTATAAATGTCTTTGTAATAAATTATCCTCTTAAGACCCGGCAAAACATTTTAGGAAAGAAATTGTATTTTTTGATGTCATTACATTGTTTAGAGCATTAAAAAAATGTAAACAAAAACAAATTAAAAATGATATTTCATTCATAAGTTATGCTACGTCCTTGGTAGAGGACATCGGGACTCAATTTCTTTAAAAAAAAATCTAAATAAATGAATCAACATGCATATGCAAAAACAATTTTTTTTTTAATCACCAAAAAATTTTTAGTTTTCAGGATTTTTTTTTTACCAAACTTTGTATAAAGATAATTCTCAACTATGTTGTAACAGAATGATTTGATATACCATTTTTCTTCATGCAAAATGTGTGTAAAATGGCCACAAACAGGTTTTCTCATTATATATAATGTATCTATAAACTAAATCTAATTTGCATATTAATGTGTTTTGGGGCCACATGTAATGAAAAAAGAAGTGTAATATTGAGAGTAATAATTGACAAGATTTTCATAATAATATATAATATTTCATAGGAATATTGAAATATATTTTCTTTCCCTATTAATTTGTTGTGTCTCCCAAAATGCGTAATAAACATGCTTTTAGTCCCGGTGTCCTCATATGAGGACATGTATGAAATCAACCTCCTGTTTCGTAACAGAAAGTCATATTTTGATTTGAAACCCCATAACATTTTCCTGAGATGTTGATTTATGACACACAGTTTAAAAATGTGTCCGATTTAAATGACAATTACAAAATATTATCATATTTCCATAAGAGTGTCACTAAATTAATATCAGACATTTTTGAAGACCAAGGAGAGGGGGTGGTGATGGTGAAACATCCAAACATTTAGTATCTCTGAAAAGCCCTGAATGTGCTCTGTACAGGACATCCAGACTTACAACTGTGGCATGTATAGTCTCAGAGAAATTCACTAAAATATAATGTCCTCATATGAGGATGCAGGGTCTCAGGAGGTTAAATTACTCATTTATTTTTAATACATTACATACATTTTAATTAATTAATAATTTATAATAATAACAGTATTTTTTATTTATTTATTTATACATGTAACTGTGTTTTTTTTTGGGTATATACCTAATATACTACTTTTTAGTTTTTTTTAAGTACCATGTAAATACCATTGTATATGAATGGCAATCATTTAATACTTGTTTAATAACTTTAATAACTTCATTATGCTACCTTGGTACATGAATTGTACTTAATTATGGTAGTTATTAGGAACATACCATCACTGTACCATGGTACCACCACAGTACTTTTTGTAAGGGTTTTGCTTTGATAATGCTTCCCAGTTATATGTAATTATGTGGCATTGAGTCTGAGTGTAGGACCCACTTTATGTCTTGAGGTACTGTGTACTTACATTTAAATGAATTATTTGATATAATGAATATACATGTTTTTACATTGTATTATATTTAAAAAATACCTTCCTCTAATTATACTGTAAATATACTGTATGCTAATTAATTTTAGTCGTTACATTAATAATTACACTATTGACCCTACCTCTACCCCTTAAGCCTAACCAAACCACCACCCCTTCTCTAGCATACAACATTTTTACAACGGTTCACTATTTTTGAACAAGCACAAAGTAGTTGTAGACACCTAATATAAAGTGAGAGTGGACTGTATAGAATAAAACACATCATTATTGAGGTACAGGAAGAGAGTGTGTGTGTGTGTGTGTAACAGAAAGAGCACAGGAATAAAAGAGCATGACACACTGAGACATACTCATCTGACATTCACAATCTCACAGTGTACGTGTGTGTGAAAGAGTGAAAGAGAATGAGACGGAACATTGAGAGTAGCGGGGGAGTGAAACTCTCTCGGAACAGTTGGGATGAATCATCCAGTTTTCACCTCTCTCCAAGTCTTGCAGTAAACTGTTCTCATGCAAAAAAAAAAAATGTTAATGTTAACACGTCTTCTGACCAGGCGTGATGCGTCAAGTTTTCAGCTACAAGTAATGTGTCTGTTTACACTGAGAACATATCTGATTAGATAGATAGATAGATAGATAGATAAAACATTTTATTAGTAGTAGTCGCAACAACAAGGGAAGTCGTGGCCTAATGGTTTGAGAGTCGGACTTGTAACCCATTCCGGCAGGAATTGTAGGTGGGGGGAGTGAATGTACAGCACCCTCTCCCACCTTCAATACCACGACTGAGGTGCCCTTGAGCAAGGCACCGAACCCCCAACTGCTCCCCGGGCGCCGCAGCATAAATGGCTGCCCACTGCTCCAGGTGTGTGTTCACGGTGTGTGTTCACTGCTGTGTGTGTGCACTTAGGATGGGATAAATGCAGAGCACTAATTCAGAATCAGAATCAGAATCAGAAGAGCTTTATTACCAAGTATGTTTACACACACAAGGAATTTGACTTGACGACAGGAGCTTCCAGTGCCGAAAGGCAGACATACATAGGAATAACACAGTAGGTATGTAATATAACACTAATATAATTTAAAAAAAGAAAAATTGAATAATGTACTATATACAGAAATAGAAGTACAGAAATTCCTAGTATGGGTCACCATACTTGGCCACTAATCACGTAACTTTTAATAATAATAAATTATTATAAACAATAATAATGAGGATAAAATCTTGCATGAAAGCAAAGGAGATGAAATGATGGGAAATGGAGTTTGGAAACTGTTGCGAGTCAGATTCGAAATAACATTTTCCGTATGAGCACCACAGCTCAGTGGTTTTCCTTATAAAAAGTACTTTTGGGAATTCTAATGCAGATGTCTGAAACAAAATGTTGTTGCTATGGTCCCATGTCCCAAAAAAAAAAGAAGCTTGCACCGTGCATCAACCTCTAGCCCACAGCTCCAACACTATGCTAACATTTCATTCATCTTGGCACTTCACTAATCGGTATAGACTGCTGCCGAGGTATCCGGGGCCGTGGTACATGCGCACTGCTGATTGCATTCTTTTGTGAACTCACAGATGACTAATTACCATAAAAACAAACTGAAGTGATTGGCTCAGGACGAGTGGCTGTCCAGACTGGCCCTGTGACAAACCGCAGAAGATAAAAGAATGAGTGAGTGAGAGAGAGAGGTCAACCCCTGTTTCCCACGGGACGTTGTCTCAGGAGCAACCTGTCTCCTCGCATTGAGGGCCCGTGCCGCACAAGCCGACACCTCATCGTGATTCATCCACTGGAGCCAGCGCCACCAGGGCACCACAGAGGCCCCTAGGGGTCCATGGGCACACTTCTCTACAACACTTCTCCTCCTTCACTATATCTCTTTCTCATCTTCTGTTCATTCTCAGCTCTGACCTCGAGGAGTTCAGAGGGTTTTGGATCCTCGTGACAGACAAGCTTCAGTTGACTGACTGATAGTACAGAGTGAATAGAGACTTAATGAGTAAGAATTTATGTGTCTGTTTTCATCAATCCGATGTCTGAATGCAGATTCTGAATCCATTATATGCTCAACTTTACAATATAATGAAAATGTATGTTTAGATTCATGTCATGTGTGTTGGGAACAAAATGTATGTGCATGCAAAGATAATTTACAGTAACAACGTTGAATTTAAAGTTTTCCTTGGAGAAAATGGCATCTTAAACCATAGTCTGCTGGTCTTTGCTGGTGTATGATGGTCTTAGGTGGTTGTCCATCTGTTCTGCCAGTCTGATTAGTAGAGAAGTGCTCTAAACCTCTCTAAAAAACCTGCAAAGAGATTAGTCTGAGCAGGCTTGCAGACCAGCTAAGATTTTAAGATGTTATTTTTCTAGGCTGTATTAAAGTCTGCAACACCTCTGTCAGTAAAATCCAACTGTAATTCTGAATCTAGAGGTTTTAAGATATATATTAATGTTTACCCTGCTGAAAATGTTAGCTTAAACCAGCCAAAGACTTTGTCTTTTATAATGGTCTTAGATAGTCATCAATCTGTTCTCCAAGTCTGACAAGCAGAAAAATGCACCAAACTTTTCTGAAACCCAGAAGACCGGCTAAGACCAGCAAACCAGTTTAGGCTGGTTTAAGATATTTTTGTTCCAGGTTATGTAGAAATCTGCAGTACCTCTGTTAATTTAATCCAACTGTCATTCCAAATCTGCTAAAAAAGTTCTAAAATGATTTACTGGTCTTATCTAGTTTATAATGGTTTTAGCAATCCAGTTTAAGCTGGTTTAAAATGTTAATTTGTTAACTCTGTCAATTTAATCAGACTTCAGTCCTGAATCTTAACATTTTAAGATATATTTTAAGATTTACCCTGCTGAAAAGGTCATCTGGAACCAGCCTAAAATGGTCCTGCTGGTCTTCGCTGGTTTATAATGATCTTAGATGGTCGCCCATCTAGTTTCCCAGTCTGATTGGCTGAAAAGTGCTCCAAACCTCTCTAAAACATGGGGACTAGCGAACCGATTTAGGCAGGTTTAAGATGTTTTTTTTTGCCGTGTTATGTTAAGATCTGCAGCACCTTTGTCAGTCAGATTGCAATTGCAATTTTGCCCAGTTGAATCAAATTAGTCAGATCCTTAACTTTCTTAAACTAGACTAAGATGATTTGCTGGTCTGGCTGAGTGGTTTTAGAGGTCTTTTTTGTGCAGTTCTGACCTACCTTCTCAAGCCACATGATGGCTTTTCATTCTGATTGCACTATTAGTCAAATTATTAATGAATCATTAGGCTGCATGTAAACTTAGCAACTGTGGTTATTTATCAAAAGTTGCGTTATTGTGAATAGCATGAAAGGACAGTCGTTTAACTTGATTGCTTCTGCAGTTTCCACCGTTTCTGCAGAGTCTGCAGAACGCCGCTCTACATCCTGTTGGTAACATACATAACACTATATAAATGTGTACAGGGAGGGATGAGGTTTTTCATTTGCTTTCATTTTTTTCTACTGCAAACCAACATAAAATACCATGTGTGAATGCTTAGATCATCTGCAAAGGGTTAAGCACTGTATGCAATGTAAATACATAAAACAGAAGGACCGCACATAAATGTGCATTTTATGACATTATTAGCCATAGATAAGTTTAAAAACACATTTGAGACGTTTAGATGCCCTTTGAATGTCATTAGATGGTAATACAGTATACTTTTTCTGCTCTTCCAGTCACCAGACCAGCTCTAACCAGCATAAACCAGCTTGGTTCATTGTGTACATTTATGCTGTCCTCTTAAATACACCGAAATGTCAGAGTCATAGTAGACTGGATCATATGACTGCAGCAACACACACACACACACATCTCTATTACACACTCACATATAAACAGAGATCATGCATTTGCCCACAACTAAAACAAGCACATGCAAAGACCAACACACTGGCAAATTCAATAAACAGTGTCGTATTTCAGCTCAAAATTATGCGTCTGTCTCACTAAATACCCATAATCCAGTTCAACGAGGCGTAAAAATCGTGCCATTCTTTTGAGCCCAAGCACACCATGTTTCTATGTAAATTAGGCTCATTATAGATTGCACCGTATTCACATATGGACTGCTTTTATGATACTTTATGATGTTTTAATGGCATTTTAAAGCTTGGGTCTCCATTTGTTGTAACTGCATGGAGAAGAGCATGCAAAACTCATTTTGTGTTTCACCAGACGTGATTGTGAGTAAATGAGGGTAATTTTCACTTGTGTATAAACTATGTTTTTAAGGCTTTTAGGTATGAATTACTTAGAGTTATGTTCACAGATCAGAAGGGCGAGAAGCCCCGTCCTTTCCCCAGACCTCGTATCTCTCCCTCTCTCTTTTGGGAACAGAGACATCATGGGATTGGCAGGAAATGTCACGTCAGTCACACACATCCCCAAAGAGACATGAAATTCAGCTGTGTCCTCAGTGCATTCAACGTGCCTTTGTATGAACCCAGTAAAACATTACATAAAGGTACAGTACCAGTCAAAAGTTTGGACTGAATATTGTTCCTTGTGACACTTTTTAATACTAAGGCTCATGAAGAAATTATTTTGTGTACAGTCATAATTAAACTGTGCTTAGGTGTATGAATTTGTTTGCAAAAAAGGTCACACTTTATTTCTAAAGTCCAATTCTCGCTTAGTTAAGTATCACATTAAAAGACTCCTGTTTTAAATGGGACTTTTAATGGGAACACAATTGAGAAGAAAGAAACCAACAAAAATGCCTCTTAAACCTCATTTTGTCAAGTGATATTGGGCCCATAGAATCACTTTGTGTCACTTTTCATTTCGTCTCAATAAACTCCTAATTTGCTGCTTATTAATAGTTAGTAAGGTAGTCAAGTGTAGGTATTGGGTAGGATTAGGGATGTAGAATATGGTCATGCAGAATATGTGCTTTATAAGTACTAATAAACAGCCAATATGTTAATAATAGGCATGCTAATAAGCAAGTAGTTAATATTGAGAATTGGTCCCTATACTAAAGTGTTACAGCAAAAAATATTTTGTGTCATTTTCCGGTTAAAATATCTTAAAATCCTTAAGTTTCCTTAAGAAGCAACAATGCATGATATTAAAGACTGTTTTTTTTAGTTTTTATAACAGTGTATTTTGTCCGATTTTTTATTTTATTTTATACTTATACACGATGCACTATAAATCAGAAGTCTTCATATCTTATGCACTGTTGCTTGTGAAGTAATCTTATCTTCTTTTATGAATTTTGGGATATTTTTACTGGAAAACAAGGCAAAAAAAAAAAGAGTAATTAAAAACTCAAAAATGTTGTATCTATACTTTTGACTGGAACTGTATATCATGGAGATATATCTGTGAAAGCAATTGTTGCCTTTGACATTATAAGAATGTTTTCTGTCATTTAATTATATCTCAAAACTGGATTAGCACATATCCACTATTCTAGTTTGAGTTTAGTATTATATTAAAAGACTCCTGTTTCAAATGGGACTTTTAATGGAAAAGTGACAAGAAAGAAACCTCATCAAATCTCATTTTATCAAGTGATTTTGGGCCCAAGTCACTTTTCATTTCAGAGTCGCACATAATTTGACAACAACCTTTCAAGAACTTCCTGTCTGGTCTCAGTCCACATCAACAGCCACATCCAGACGTTGCTTCATACCCTGGCTGCACCACCAGCACAGAGAAAACAGATAGAGTGCCATGCATGTTGGCAGGTCGTAGAGATACGCCGTTATGAAGATCACAAACAGAATAGCATACACAAGAGCCTTGGCCGTGTGACCCAGCGAGCAGAATTCTCTCAACAGCCTACTGCTGTTGCCGCCCACCCAGGACATGTGAATGCTGGGTAACGGCGTGGAGAGTTCATCCTCTCCGTCCAGTCGCTGGGGTTCTTGAAAGTTTCTGAGGGTCTTTCCAAGCTCAAAGTCCTCCTCTGCAGAAGTTTCCTTTGCAGATGCTGTCCGAAGGAGGGGCCTGGATGGGTCAGTGCTAACAGTTGGATAGGGAGGTAAGTGGGCGGGTGCAAATGTGGTAGCATGAATCTCAAACTCTTTCTCTTCTCCATCTGTGCAATTGTCACCCACTGCTCGGGAGGCCTCTATAAGCTCTTCTGAATGCATTTCATCCTCTTCAACACTAGCAGCTTCTATAGTCGTCTCATTCAGTCGCTCCTTCATTTTAAGTCCTTCATTTGTCTCAAAACGCCTCTCTTCATTTTTCAGTAGCTCTGAATTGTCTTTGTTAAAACTCTTGTTCGACGTGCATAATTCGTTCTTATTAAATGCCTCGCTCTCACACGATGAAACGCTCTGTATTTCTGCGCTGTGATCCGTAGTTGTCTCATCTTGTCCTTTTCTACTGCTTTCCGTGTCCTCTTCATGTAGTTCTCTACAGAACGCCCTCATTTCCACCTGCTCCTCGCTAGCATCTTTATTTATATCCTTCCTTTCTGAAGAAGATCCCTCGGCCTGTCTATTTGTGAATGGCACGTCCATGATCCCCGTAAATGTCAGGGAGTCTTTGACCGCTCTCTGTGTGTTTTCTTTAACCTTTGAGGTGTCGGAGCTGCCTGTGCATTCTTCAGGTGAGATTCCATCTCCGGCTTCTGAATTCTGAGTCTCGGTGTCACATGCGGTTCGAGTTTTGTCCCCAGGGTTTGCTTTGGTCGTGTCTTGACTCAAAGATCCGCTTGTGTGCTCTTGATGTGGGGCTTGGCGGTCATGAGATGCCTCTAACTCGCTTCCCGCCCTCTCTGGCTCCGATCCCTGTGCAGAACATGGTAGGGTAGTGACCCTTGGCTCTTTCACTAGTTGGTAATCCACAACCTGATCTCTAGGACTCGTGCTGAGATCCTTTGATTGCTCTACGGGAACAGAATTTACAGTTTCCATTGCTTTCCTGTCAGGAGACTCTTGACTGTGGTCTTTCTCAGCTCCCTCATCCTCCATTGGGACTACAACTTCTGACTCTGGAGGAACACATACTTGGTGCTGCATATCAGTGCTGTTAAGAAAAGTTTCCCAGGCCCCAGAAGCAGATATGGCTAGGCGATCTTCAACCTGATGTCTTGTTTTACTGCAGGCATCTGGAGGGTTTGCTTGGGGGGGTGTTGTTGTGGTACTGCTCCAATCCAGGGAAAGCAAAGGGATCTGGTGGTACATTAGTATTGGTGGCGTGTCCATACTGCATCCTTGTCGGCTGTTGACAACTGGCAAGTCAGTTCTACTTGGTATAGACAGCTTTGGGATGGATGTGGTACTTTCATCTGTGTTGGAATTACATCCCATCTGGGTTTCCATTGCTTTCTGAGCAAAGTAGTCCTGCACGCGAGCCAAACGAGCAGCTTGACGTTTCCTACGACGATCCACCTATCAAAAAATTGTGAAAAAAGGTGGTTTTCAGCAGACTTTATTATGTCATGTTTGTAACAAGAGTCACTTATTCAGTGGAATATAATGTTGCAAAATGCATGAATTTATCCTTACTAATAAGTTTCTGCTTTGAATTTAAAGAGATTGTTCATCCAATAACGCTGTATATTTATCAGTAAACTACAAACTGGCAAACTACCCCTTTTATGGGTGGACTACCTCTCTAAATGCCTGTCTTTGTCTCTGAACCTTGTCTCTGAGCACTCATTGACCCTACCAGAGTTTTGCAGCAGTCCTTAAGGGATTTCCAGGAATTGATTCCTGCTTCTTTCTCTGTTTTGTTCTCCCTAGTATGCCCGACCTTGGGTGTGACTTGTTCTGGAAAAAAACAAAAACAAACTCAAACTCGGTCTCTCATCTTCAGAATCAAAGTTCCCCATTCCCAGATCTCCGCATAAGAAACCCACCTGAGGTCTCACCACTCGCCTCTGCAGGTGTCGCGTCCGAGTAGTTCTTTTTACTGTAAATATAAGGCAGGTTTTCAATTATACTCACCAACCATATGTTCAAACATACAATCTCCAGTCAAAACAGAGTGCTTGATTGGACAACCAGAGAAATACGTCTAGTTTTATTGGGAAATAAATACATTTAAACAAGTTTAACCGTGTTTTTTTTAGTACTGTAAGGTGTTCTGAGTCATTTTTAGTGCTGCCATGCAATTGGATGTTTTGGATGGTTGCCAAAGCTTATGATGTGCGATTACCCTCCTGCATTGCAACTATTTTGTTCTTTCAGTGTACATATATGGTATTTTTTAGACTGTTTTATCATTTTTAAAGGGTTAGTTCACCCAAAAAATAAAATTCTGTCATTAATTACTCACCCTCATGTTGTTCCAATCCTGTTAGTCCTTCGTTCATCTTCGGAACACAAATTAAGATATTTGTATATTTATACTATATTGAGTTTTCTGACACTGCATAGACGGCAAATCAACTGAAACATTTTTTAGCCCAGAAAGGTAGTAAGAGCATCGTTACAATAGTACATGTGACAGCAGTGGTTCAACCGTAATGTTATGAACCTACGAGCATATTTTTTGTGCACAAAGAAAACAAAAAGAATAACTTTATTCAACAATTTCTTCTCTTCCATGTTACGTTTATCCGTGTGCATTCCTCTGTTTGCAAACAAGTCGCAGCGCATCTGGGTTCTACGTCAGAACGCCGGCTCTTACGCATATGTCGTGGTACTCTCGTCAATGTGCATCGACTGACACGGATGAGAAGAAATTGTTGAATAAAGTTATTTTCGTTTTCTTTCTTTTTTTATCGTACATTACGGTTGAACCACTGATGTCACATGGACTATTTTATTAATGTCCTTACTACCGGCCTTGAACGTGGTAGTTACATTGCTGTCTATGGAGGGTCAGAAAGCTTTCAGATTTCATCAAAAATATCTTAATCTGTGTTCTGAAGATGAACGAAGGTCTTTCAGGTTTGGAACGACATGAGGGCGAGTAATTAATGACAGAATTTTCATTTTTGGGGGAACTATCCCTTTAAGGCTAGAATTGTAAGCGTGATTACTTGGTGAAAGTAGCAACACACATTTCTTCAACTTCAACACATCTGAATTATACGCCAAAGTTCAAATCCCTAACACTAAGTATGAGTAATAGTGATGACTCTAGTGTCTGTTTTTGCAGTGCTCCCCACCTGATTGTTTTAAGGCAGCTCCTGATACTTTTTTGGTTACTCTCCTCTACCAACTTCTCCTTTTCATTCTCTTTCTCTTTCAGATCACTTCTTCGTCTTTGGTGGCAGAAGACAATGTAGTTCGTCCCTCCATTGTTGGCCCAGAAGCTTCCAACAGCACTTTCGTACCTCAGACAGAACTCCACCCGCAACCCTTCGACCTGGAATGGAGGCGTCAACACCAGGTGGAAAGAGAAACAGTCAGTCTCGCCATCGCTGGACCCAGGCATGTACTCCGCCAGCAGGTCGAAGTGGCTCTGCCAGCCGTCCAGAGTGACGCGGATGTAGACGGCCTTGTGGAAGCAGAGGTTAAGCACGCGAACGATGCCCCGGATCGTGGTGGATCTAGGGAGCAATTCGATGCGCTCCAGTTCCAGCTTCTGCTGCTGAAGTCTCACCTCCATGTCCTGGTGCAACGCTGGGACATTGAAGAGGCATGAGATGTAGTACTCCTCACCCTCTCTACCATCTGCATCCAGCCTTGATGAATCCCGGTTGTCGTACTCCTTCACAGAAACCAGGTCCAGTCCAAAGGCATCCGCAAACGACACCTTTCTTCGTACGGCTACCGGTGGGGGCTCGGGTTCCACCTCCTCGGATTCATCTCCAGAGCTTCCTTCTAATGCCCTGTCCACCGTTTTCTCCAATTTGACATTTTCCTTGTTTTTCATTGTCCAGTCACTATAGATAGGAGACTCCAGGTTGCAGGAGACCATGGAGAGTACAAGCTCTTCCCTAGACATGCCTGGGTAATGCTGGATGGGTAAAGTCTGAGAGAACAACACTAACCGCCTGGAACCCTCACTCACAACGTGACTAGACACAGAGCGTCAGGTTGCAGCTGAACATTGTGTGGTTGCCAGGCTTAAAAATAGCTGTGGGTGCTACCAAACTATGCTGGTCTTCCTGGTCACTAGTGTCTGGTAGACGTGTGACACTTCGATGTGTTCATGTCGTCTGTTGAACTCTGCTGAACCTGATAGCTTCGATTAAATGCTTTTGAATTATATATGTGTATCTGTTCCGAAACAACACAATGCTTCTGTTTGGACATGTAGAAGAGACCGGAGCTGGTTGTCACATGGGAAATTGGCTCAAGGGGCGATATCAAAGTAACTTCAAGTTTTAAATACGTCTGTTTTTTTATGTGCATATTGGTTTCAAACACCTAGATGAAACTGTCTTAGAGAATAAAGACAGATTTTTGTGAATTCTGTTCTTCAAACAACATTTTTTTCATATTTTATGTCTGTTGGCAAGTGAGCACAATAATAACCACACTGTCATTACATTCAAATAACATTCCTGCTCCTCATCTCTACTGGTCTCTTCAGCAGATGAAACAATTGATATTGCATTCTTCTTATTAGTGTATTTAAGAGACTCGACAAACTGAACAAACTCCTTCAACTTCTAATGACTGGATTGTTTACCCAGCAGGTGGACATGAGGTCACGTGGGGTCGCAGTACGCCATAAAAAATACTGTATGGAAAGTGATATTTATTATATATATATATATATATATATATATATATATATATATTAGTATTTGAGAAGTAACACACACACACATACACACATATATATATATATAGTAATAAAGTATAGTACGTAAAAGTATGTATATATAGTAAATTTTTTTTATTATTATTATTATCAAGGTTAACATTAATCTTACCATGGATGCTTGCTCCAGTTCTGTATTCCGGAGTGAAATCTTCATTGCTTTAGAGCTGCTCACAGGAGAGGTGAGTGTCAGGACAGTAAGGTTGATGTATAGGAGTGTTAATGGACAGCACTGCTCTTAAGACTCAGCCACATCTACTGCCAGTGCAGTTTCAGTGGGTTCAAGGGATCTGGGACTAAATCAATAGGGTACGTGACACTTTCTTTCTTTCTTTTTTTTTTTAAACAAGGTGTATAGTATTACAGCTCCTATCATGGCTGTGATTAGCTCGGAGAGTTTTGGTTGCAGAAGCACCTCAGTCTCACTCCGGCAGGTGTGCATCACGCCGCTTCGTCACTCAATGCCGTGTCCCTTCAAAGAGGCCGTAATAGCAGTAGTAACATTTCAAGCACACACACACACACACCTCGGCAGCACCAGACGTGCTCAGTAACGTGAAGCCTGGCCCTTTGTTAGCCCCACGCAGTTCTTCCCAGGTGATTTTAATTAGCAGTGTTTCAATGAGCATGATGTTTCACGTACGACACGTGGCGGGAGGGAGGCACGGCTGACCCTCGACAGGAAAGAGGGGCCTAAATTCGAATTATCTCAATGTTTGTGTAGTCGCAGCCTGATTACGGCATTCATCATCGGCTGGGGTGTGTGCAATGCACTGCTTTGCGTCAAAAGGAAAAAGACACATCCTTTTAAGATTAATGTGTGTGCATTGAGAAAAATAAAATCATCATTTGTCTGAGTTAAGATGCCACTGCGAGCTGGTTGTGCTTTATTCGTATTGAGAGTCATGTGGGTGGGACTGTTTCATCCAGTGAAATAATGAGTTTAATTCTTTCATATGGAGTCTAACAAAAAAATGCACACCTGAACTTAAACTCAAGGTGTTTTGAGGGTTTTCGCAATAAGCAACGTATTACCCTATGTGTGTTTTAATGTACATCTCTGAACAGGGTCATAAAACTCTAATGGCAATTAAGCCGGAAAGCCTTCTGTTTGTATCCATGTTAACTTCACAGAAATGTTTCCATGACAACCTTCATGCACGTTAAGGCAACCAGAGGTGATCAAGTCCTTCCTCTTTTTTTTTTTTTTTTTTCCGGTTTCGTTTTCGTTTTGTTCTCCCTCCCTTTCCTTTTCTCTCGCAAGAGTGGAATTTGTGTTGACAGTTCTGGCCTTTAATGGCACTTTGGTGCCGCGTGAAAGTATTTGTTTACCGGGATCGTATGCTGCTAGCTGTCAGCCTCGCAGAGATTGACTTCTCCAGATAAAAGACTGTATTACATGCTTAAGAGGTCTTATGTGCTGTAATTATCCACATCATCCTAATGACGTTTGGTGTGCTTCAGTAACTAAGACACTGAGTGTTTCCTCTGAGGTCACATATTAGAAATAAGAAATGCTTTTTTTGTTGTTTTAAAGCTTTGTGTGTCAGTGGATGGGATTTTTATGCTTATTTTATGAATTTTAATGTTTTGACTAATGGAATGTTTCTTCTCAGTCTGAGGTTGCAATGCTCTAGACCTTTCGTTTGATATTTTTTTTCCTTAAACGTGGAATATAATCCCCAACTCTAGTCTTTTGACTGTGACGGTGCTCTTTCACACGAATGATATCACATGACCTTTATGGAGAGGTATTAAAATCACCCATAAGCATCTTATCTTAGTACAAATGCCCTTGAAATTATTAATTGTATGCTTCGCTGATATTATCATTGCTGATATTTTTTGTCATCCTTTTTTTTTTCAATTTAAAGGCATGACAGGATCTTGTTGGCTGAAGGCACTGATTTATTGAGCGTTTTAGTCTCTGGTTGAGTTAAAACCCCAGTCGTTGTGGATGAAGGGGGGCGTCATTTGTAGTAAACGGCAAGGTCAGACCCACTCGGACCAAACTTGCCTGTGGCCTGTGACGAGAGGAAGTGTGGAAGTCGACTCGATGCTAGTTTGCGTGATGCTGTTTACGCCAGGCTTAGTTGCAGCATTTTTATTTGGTAATAAATTATTTGGTTATTTAAAATAAGATATGTTAAAAAAATATTTTTTTTGATTCTATATTTACAATTATATGAATAAAAAATCAATTGTCTGTCATTGTTACAAATACAGTATGTAATCGCAAATGTGATTAATTGTGTCAGCTTCTTTTCAGGCAACAGCAGATATAGAAGAATTATACTTACCCTGCTGGTTCACTGTGCATTCTCATTTCAATTTACATAATAAAGGCTTTAATTTTTTGACATTACAGACTTTGAGTTTTTCCTCAATTGCCAGACTATTTTTTCAAACAGAAAAAAAAAATATATATATATATATATATTTTTTTTATATATATATATATATATAATGATCCTGCTTTTAAAAGTAATCAAAGAATTCTTAATATCCAGTAGAACCAAATACTGACCTTCTAAGTGGAATCTCTGAGGACAATTCTGTTAGCAAGAGAGAAAAAATGTGTTTATTTGAATCACGTTGTGGAAAAACAGAGGATTTGTGACAGTAACGTCTCCTGACAGGCGTATTAGGCTGCAGAAAGAGCATCGGGCCCGAGGCTGCGGGCATATGGTGCTGCCTTCTGCTGGCATCGCTCTAGAACAAGTTGCAACACTGTGGCAGGGTCACGACGGGCTCAGGTTTGTTCCTCCTGCCCTCTCTAAATAATAACAGGGCAAATTAATGTTCCCTTTGTCTTTGGCAAGGGCAGAGTGAATATTTTTAGTTTGACTCTTTGGCCCGAATTGTTGTATTCTTGGTTTTGCTTCATGTTGTTGTTGAGTTACTGAGCTGACGTTATTAGTTAATGTGTTTGACCTTCATGTTTCTCTATTGTTTTAAAGGAATGCCTGATTGCTGTACTTGACATTTAATTTGTGTAGCAAAGTATATTTTATGTAGGGATGCACCGATATGAAAATTTTGGCCGATACCGATAACCGATTATTCTTTATTTTTGAAAGCCGATAACCGATATGTTGGCCGATAAATCTATATCCAAATTGTTATATACTTTTTGAGAGCCTGATTACAAAAAAGGTCTCATCATTAAAAGCCACATCCCAAACACTTCAACATAAGCAGCCTAGTTTGAACGGTGTACGTTTTAAAAATATTTTTACTCTCCCTTTACCAAATTTAGTCATAAAGTCTTACAAATAAATAAAATAATGCATAAATAATGCAAACAAGTCACTGGACATCATTACACGTGTAAAGAATCAAAATGAATGCGCCACAGATCAATAAAACAGAATAGCCTCTGCACGGACAATAATTAAATTATTTTAATTACTAAACCATATTGTGAGATAAATCCGATATACATCAAATAAACACAATATTACAATGTACAATTGCACTAAAGGCTGCAAACGAACAACGCGCATCTGAAGTGTCTCTGAAGGAAATAATGCATTATTTATCGGCTTTAAGATATCGGCCAAATTTTCTTATCAGGCCGATACCGATAACAGAAAAAATAAGCATTTATCGGCCGATACCGATATGGTGGCCGATATGTCGTGCATCCCTAATTTTATGCTTACAACACTACTGTGGTATTGCCATATTTTTTGGATGTGATAACACAGTAATGCAATGTTTTTTTTGTTTTTGTTTTTTTGGACCAGTAATATTGTTATTGTGGACATGTACCATTGTATTCTTCAAAATAACTTTGAGTGGCATGTAAAACCATGGTTTTTGTAAGGATTAGTGTAGAAAAATCACATTTTATCTTTGATATTGATGTTATTTTATTAGTGATCTTACAAATTTAGAATGTACTGTATATGGATCAGTACCATGGTAGATATAAAAAAAAAACTATCTTTTTTACCATGTTACCCCATTTGTTGTAAGAGTTCATGCAGAAATCAGATATTATTATTGATATCTATTATCAGTTTTAGATTTTTTTATTTCCAGTCTTGGATTCATCATGAGCATGGTAACCATGCAGTACCATCATAAATATCAAAGTATAATACCATCATTTTACCATGGTACCACTAGAGTAGCTTTTTTGTAAGTGTTAGTGTAGAAAAATCTGATTTTATTATTAAAATTGATATTATTTTCTTTTACATACTTAGCATAAATCATGAATATGTTAATTGTTCAGTATGTATCAAAATACCACAGTATTTCCTTCTGGTTCCATCACTATATCATGGTATTTCCACAGTAGTTTATTGTGAGGTGTTTGTGTTGAATAATCAGATTTGATATTTATATTCTAGCTTCTAAATTGATCTGACACTCATATGTAGCACAATTTAATAATATCCACCAATATGAATCAATAGCACAATCATATTTTGAATACTGAAACGCAAGCATCCTTTCTGAACTGTAGCTATGAGTGTGTGTTCAGGGGCCTGTGGGAATGTGTGTGCCGTTGTTGTGTTTGGTGCTCAGGGATGTCTTTTAGACTGTGGAGGGTTAATTATAGTCCTCTGACTCCCTCTTTGTCTTTGATAGGGTCACTTACAGCATATGGCCACAGCAATACAATAGTTTATTTTTATAATATTTGATGAGTGGTTTTTAATTTAGATTGTCACTTCTGGCAACCAGCAGGGCAGATGGTGTAGATTTGAATGCCCATCAGAGCCTAAACACCCTCCAGGCAGCTGTTGCTAATAAACTTTTTTTTATCATCTTCTTGTTTTTTCCCCCCCGTTTTCCCCCATGCAACACGTTTTAGGTCAAGAGGAGTCAAACCTGTTACAACACCTGTTTCTGCATATGTAAATCTGTTGTTTTGTCATTTCATTAAACAAGAAAAAAAAGGCAACAGTCCCTTGTGGTTGCAAATGTGACTGGCATCGAGCCCACTTGGCAGGGTGAAGACAGCGAGGGGAGGAGGGAAAGACACATACAAGACAACTGCGGTTTGTGTCACACGACCGCAGGGCTGTTGGATGCCACTTTCGTGTGAGGATGTTTTCCGAAAGGGCCCCAGTGGAGAATACAGCG